TATAATTATTTATCAAGTTATTAGTTATTTTTTTGTGATAATATACATTATTAAATATACTTAACATGTTCGTTGATACTCTTGTAGAAGGAAAACCCCAGTCAAAGCGTTAATTAATACATCCTCGAAATTTAATACTATTAGTAAAAGGTTGTTCAATAAGCTTGAAGAAGATTATGGATTGGAAGGCGTATCTGGTGATGATTTGATAGGTGAAGAAATAAAATGCTTAGATCTACAATTTTGCTATAAAGGAAAGTGGCGAAGCTTAGATGGCACCAAAGTAATAGACTTTCAAATTCGCAAAAATCCATCATTCGATTTGGTGCTGGGACAAGAATGGTTATAGATGCATAAAGTAAAAATTATCTTTGGATTTTCTTCCAGAACCTATGAACACCGCGATAAAATTGTAATAGATGATATGAGTATCCCATTGATCGAAAGAGATGACAGGTCCATGGATGACTCAAAGAGTCATAAAACCAGCTCTGGTAAAAATAACTCACCTTAGTCCAATCTATCAATAGAGGAGATCACAAATATAACCAAGAAACTTCTTTCAAATGCCAAAGATAATAAACACCAAAAGAACCATCATGGGATATTTTGCAACATAACTCCTGTACCTCTACCATCCAGAAGATTAAATGATGATGTACCTAAAAATAGCAGAGCTAGTAAGAATAAGAAATATCCTAAAGTAGATTTAGGCGATGGGTGTGGAAAGCTTTCATTAAAAACACACCTCAATAATATTTGGAAGTCAGTTCATTCTATAGAAAATGATATAGAGTATGGAATTTTTGAAAAACTCCATATTATTGAGTATGAACTAAGTTGTTTAAATAAAGGAAAGTTACCATGGATAAAATCTGAGACAGATCCTTCTAATTCTTGTTTACATCAAAATAAGAGCAAGAAAGGTGGAGGTAAGTATTTCACAGATTTGAATACTGACACTTTCGATACAAGCACTTCTTATTCCTCCAATTCAGGTCCAGAAGGTGTATGTAAGGTCACAGTTGTAAAAAAGCGAAAATGCCACAAGAAATAAATTAACCAATTTGCCATATATATTTTTTCGGTTAAACAATGGTAAGTATTTTTCATACAAATATAATTACCTTATAACTGCGAAGTAATAATTCCATTCCAAGATGGCGCCCAAAAAATCCAATAAAGATACTGATTCGAAACAATTAGAAAAGAATATCAAATCAAGACCACCTCTTGCACGATTAGCTAAAGAGGATATCGATTGTATTATGTATGCCAGAGACTTGAAGGGTGGGTCTAAAAAAGTTTCAGAGTGGTATAAAATCGGCAACCCAAAGTGTAATAAAATTTGGAAATCTGAAGACCCGTACTCATATGCTAACTCAATCGGTGAACCTAACTTGCCTGAATGGTATATTAAAAATACCAAAATATCACCCGATCCAGCGCAGTGTGAGCTAACTAAAAGCCAAGAAATAGATATACCCGAGGAACCTAAACCAGATCCCATCGAAGTAAAGAGGAAGAGAAAAACAACTGAGATGGAGAATATCGCGTGTCGTGTATTGAGATTTGAGCTAGGGAAACTGGTTATAGAAGAATAGAGCGGTCTGGAATCTTCGCGATTCTTTCTCTACCACACGCGTTCGTGGAGTAAAATCTATGGTTCAGAGATAATATTTTTTTCTATGATTCCGTGTCTGATTACATTTATATGTGATGAATATTTTACGTATTACGTAGCACGTTTCTATTACCTGTGACATGTATTCGAGATAACGTGAGTGCAGAGTCGAAGTGCCATTTATTCTGAAATAGGTACATACTACATCTAAATTAAGTAACAAACAAGAATCGTATGGTACATATAAGGAATTGTCAATTATCGACGATATACGCACAGACGATTTTATAGGTGACCGATCACCTGATGCGTATAAATAGTACGAAGTCGTCATATTTTGTGATCATTAATAATCTATTGTCTCGATTTAGTACGAGATGTAAAGAACCAATGCCAAGATGCAAAGCATCCTTACTTCATAAGTGGATATCTGATGTCGAGACTTGACGTATAAAAACATGCGTTGTCTCAGTGGGTCTGGTCCTAAGATACAAAGTAATCATTTAGAACGTGAAAGCGCGCGTAATTCCAAACAGTATTAACACATAATCCCCAAGTAAAAAAACATAATTTTTCAGCTACTGGTCCACATAATTCCCAAACAGGAATCATAATCTATAATCGCAAAATCTTTGTCGTGTTAGTTTCTTTACAACACAATCGAATCACAAATCGTGCAAACCTTATTAAAATGTTCTCGATTGACGCAACCGTTAGAAATTTTCATAAAAGATTAACAAAAAATCCGAAAGAGGATACACTAGATTCATTAAAATTATGGGTATCCAAGCAGAAGGGTGAAATAGATAGTGAACCTGAAAGTGAGGAGGAGGGAGGAGATGATAATAATAATGATAGTTAGTGTGGGGTAGGGAAAGGAACTGCCATCTTAAGACTTAGGGGTCTGAGCAGGCATGTTTTAACGTGCTTTATTCCTCCCTCTTTGCCCTCTACTCCACGAATAATAAAAATAATTTTTACAGATATCAATAAAGATATAATTTGCTATTTATTTTGTTTCGTGTTTCATAAGTGTAATAATTGAGTGTTATGTGCATATATTAATTATTTATTGTGGTAGCGAACTTATTTTATTTCGATTGAAATTAATATCTATTTATTTTATATACGTATATGTGTCATGTAACATTTTCTGCGCCTATGTCCCGAGGACACACCCGTGACTACTATGGTACATATCTCAACGAAGGTAGTAACAAAATATATAGTCGTTATTTTTATTGTATACTGTAAATTATTTATTGTTAATAGGACGATTCTCCATAAGTTTCGCCGGTAATAATAACCTTCATCATCATCATCAGAAAAATAATAATACGCAATTAAAATTTTTATTTAACAATATTATAATAATTATAGTTTATCATCATTTGTCAGTTTCTGATCTCATTTTTTTATGAAAGGATGTGCGCGGAGTATCATTTGTAAAGGCAAAATTGTCTTCTTGATAAGAGTAATCACGTTTTCGCCTCAGTTTTGCATGTTTAACTTTAATCTCCGAGCAATAATCCGTAAGATTACTTAATCGGCACTGTAAAATCAAACTGATAAGTATGATAATACGTATATGTATATTAATAAGAAATAAATAAAAACATACCTCTAAGGAACGCATCATCGTATGTACTGACTCATATGATGATAACTCTTGTGTTGAAGCCGGTAAAAATGCTTTATCAATTAATCCAAAACGATAGACCCCATATGCTCGAACATCCATTGCGTAAAGGTTTATCTGTAATCCTTTAATATAAAGAAATATATATTGTTCAATCTTCTTTCAGAAATATCTGTATCTTCATTCTGAAAAATAAAAAACATTTACCTATTACTTGACAACCAAAAACCATAATTTTCATATAATCCTCTGGTAATAGACCAGGAAACGTTTTTATTATTCTATTTATCATGTCACGCATCCCGACCATGATTTTTAATTTGTCTGTCCAAATTTTTTTGGGACATCCTGCTGGAAGTCCTCCTGAAACTTCACAAATAAAGCCCTCTAAGGCTGGACCAGTTGGCAATGTAACAATTAAATCTGTTTTTTGTCCGATACGAGCACGATCATTATTTGGATCTTGGTTAACTCTACGCCTTTCCTGACTTGCTACTAATTGTTGTTCACACCTGAAAACCAGAAATAAAATCTTTAATATGAAATTAATAACATAAAATCTGGACCTTTGAAAATTACCAAAGTTTTCGAAACTTCTCTTGATTTCTGTCCATGCTCATTCTAAAAGCAGGAGCCACAATATGAATCATAAGCTCCCCTTCGTTTATCGGTAATTTAAGATGTTCAAGATATGATTTCAAATGCGCATGCAGTATTGGTACCCTTTGTTGTGCCTTTATATCCTATTCAATAAAAGGTTTCGTATAATTAATGGAACGAAGGTAATGGTTAAGTGGATTTGAAACTGAAATTACCTCGATATTATCAAAAAAGTCACTTTCGGACTGGTCAAGTCCCACCATTTTCCATGCTACATTTAGTAGGAAATTATTTACGAGTTCACCCCATATTGAAATAAATTTATTCCTCGTTGGCTTGTGTTGTCCAGTCAAATCAAGAACTCCCCAATACTGTGGACTTCAGTGGAGAAAAATGATATCCATAAATTTTATAAACAGATTCTCTCGCGAAACCGTTATATAAAATAATACTTACTGAACTTCGGAATCTTTTTTCGGTAAGGAATCACGTAAAGACTCAAAAAATTTTACAATATCAACATCATCTATTTTAAAGGAATCCCAACTGTTAGTAACTGAAACTGTAGGTTTTATGCATGCTGATATAGGCTCTTCCTCACTTCCAATGTAAGATAGATCTACGTTATCTACAAGACTGTCAAAATAATTAGGATCTTTCATATAACTGTCTTGTAAAGGACTTGACGAAGTACATTTCTCGTTAAGTTCATCATCTTCATGTATTTTCTGAAAAACTGACAATGATTTCTCTGTAGAAGAGCTCATTGAATATAAAGATGCAAGCTTGTCACAAGCCACATGAACATTAACCTCCGAACCGTACAGTTTCGATTTAGTGTTTAACATCTTTTCATTAACCTATAAAAACTAGTTAGTTGACAAAACACCTACGTATAGATAAATATATCAAAGCAAAATTAATTTACCTCCGCATCCCTTTCATCAAAAATCATTGTAACCCTTTTGGACTGGAAAAATTGATCTAACCCATCCAGAAGTCTATTTGCCTTATTATGGACTTTCTGGCTCATCGAGTTATGAGTACTGATTGAACGGAGATGAAATCTTAATTCTGTTTTAATCTTCTCACAATCCTCGCTCGTAATATCCTTACAAGTCTCTAACACACAATCGAAACAGCCGAAAAGGTCCCATTTTCCCCATAAAGTCTCATGAAAGTAATTTGCAATTGATTCCGAAATGTTCATTCTATAAAAAAAAATTTTTTAGTACTAAATAGTGAGAATAGTTTGACATAGATGAGATGAGTATCTGGAAAGAGGCTGTCAAGCTGTTGGCACTAAGATTCTTAGTGGGGGCTCCGAGGACCTCATTCCATACATCGAACCGAGGGAGTGAACAGGATCCAACGGTCGTAGGATACCCATCTGATCCCAATATACTGGAAGGAAGCTGTCAAGCTGTTGGCACTAAGATTCTTAGGTTCTTAGTGGGGGCTCCGAGGACTTCTTTCCATACATCGAACGAAGGAGTCCACCCAAGTGGGCGAGGTCCAACGAACGTAGGATATTGTTTACGCCAACTTTTGCTAGGTTTTAATAAAAAAAAATAAAAATGGAGTACGTAACCTGTTCGAATCTTTCAAATCTTTTATAGATTGTTATTCACTTCGGAAAGCTTTTTTTACAGAAAAATCAATAAAAGACGCGTTTTGTGTATCACCTTTGTGTTACAATCTGCGAGCAAAAATGATATATTAGTTACGTATTAAACGTTTTAGATATATTATTTAGATCGAAAATTTCGGAAGCTTGGTTAACGAAACTTTTAATTTTTTGTATTCTTTTGGGGATAACTTTTTCTGGTCTTTCATCGTACCATATTTCGATAAGAAAAATTCCGTTATTTTGGCATATACATCTTTTTAGCCGATCACGATTAACAATATCCTCGAGCTTTTTGACATCTTTATACCAGCTAGTGCTATGGAGCCGATGCTGAGCCCCCTGTACCTCTAATGCAATTTGGTATTTTTGAAAGAAGGCATCAAGTTCTAACCCATTCAAGAAAGAAGGACGATACTCAACTATAGGTTCTTCATTAAGAATTTCTTTAGCTATCTGAATACATTTATTCTGAAATTTACGATTTTTCTTAGATATCAGCTTCTGTTCCAATTTCATAATTCTAACCATAAGATCCTCTTTTTCTTTCACGGT